ACAATGACAGATACCTGCCTTCAAGGAAATTACCACAGGATTCCAAATTCAATATAGATCTTTTGCATTTAGTTATTGAAACAATTCATATTCTTAAAAAGCTCAAAATGTGCAGAAAATGCAGACAATAATCATCACATTTAAAAATATTTCCTATAAAAGGCGAAAGATTTATACGATCTGAAGAGAAACCAGAGTATAAAAAATGCTCAACATCTCTAATCATCAGGGAAATGCAAATCAAAACCACAATGAGATATCACTTAACCCCAGTGAGAATGGCCTTTATCAAAAAATCTCCAAACAATAAATGCTGGTGTGGTTGCGGAGAGAGAGGAACACTCCTACACTGCTGGTGGGACTGCAAACTAGTTCAACCTCTGTGGAAAGCAATATGGAGATACCTTAAAGCGATACAAGTGAATCTACCATTTGATCCAGCAATCCCATTGCTGGGCATCTACCCAAAAGATCCAATGACACTCTACAAAAAAGACATCTGCACTCGAATGTTTATAGCAGCACAATTCATAATTGCAAGGCTGTGGAAACGGCCCAAGTGCCCATCAATCCAAGAATGGATTAATAAAATGTGGTATATGTATACCATGGAGTACTATTCAGCTCTAAGAAACAATGGTGATATAGCACATCTTATATTTTCCTGGTTAGAGCTGGAACCCATACTACTAAGTGAAGTATCCCAAGAATGGAAAAACAAGCACCAGATATATTCTCCAGCAAACTGATATTAACTGAGTAGCACCTAAGTGGACACATAGGTACTACAGTAATAGGGTATTAGGCAGGTGGGAGGGGGGAGGGGGGCGGGTATATACATACATAAGGAGTGAGATGTGCACCATCTGGGGGATGGTCATGATGGAGACTCAGACTTTTGGGGGGAGGGGGGAAATGGGCATTTAATGAAACCTTAAAATCTGTACCCCCATAATATGCCGAAATAAAAAACAAACAAACAAACAAAAAACAACAACAACAACAACAAAAAACAAAACAAAACAAAAAATATTTCCTATAATGCCAGGTGTTGTATTAGATGTTGGAGATATAGTGATTAGCAAAAAGTTCCTGCCTTTACAGTCAGGTGCAGAAAATTAAATATATGAATAGTTTCAATGCTATATAGAAGATCAAGAACTACCTCCGTGTGGTCATGTATAGCATGTTCTGTCAACATACAGGCTATGCAATTCAGAAAAGCAGAAGTGGAACCTAAGTTCAAGAATGAATCCAAGCTAGCCAGGCAAAGATTGGGCCAAAGGGGAAGAATGAACAAGGTATAAGGAATGAGATCCCATATTGTGCAATATAGCGTAGAGTACCAGAGAGAGATAGAAGTATAAAGTGAGGAAAGAGGGATAAGCTAGGGCCTGATCATAAAAGCTTTGTATCTTCGTTAAGGTATTTGTAATTGATTGGAAAGGAAAAGGGGATACTGAAGGGTTTTAAGCCAGGGAGTCATGATCAAGTTTTCAGCTCAGATTGATCCCTTTGGCTGCTATGTAGAAAGTGGCTTGATGTAGAAGCTCTTCCCGTGTTGCTTAAACACCCAGATAAAGAGATATGCTCCGAGCACATCTCAGAGTAATGGTTTTAAAGCATGTGCCCAAATATTCCCTAATCTTATACCCTTTATATCATACTATTCTCAAGGTTATTCCTAGGATATGCCTAGTAGATGGAAAAAAATAGTGGTGTATCAGAATCGTAAACCAAAAGAATATATGTTCCTGTTCAAATCCAATAGCAATTGCTTAAGTGTAAAGACTCCTAACATAATTAAAACTATAACAATAAATGTTTCAGTGATTAAATCTTTAAATGCCAGCAAGTACCAAACTATTGATACTATATAACATTGAATGTTATTGAGATGCTATGAGGATGATCCCATTTAATCCTCTCCTCAACCCTATGAGAGACAATTAGTTTTTAAATCACTTATTGAGCATTTTACTCAAAATTCAAAAGGATTAAGTAATTTGACCAGATGAATAGCTAGTGAATGGAAAGGCCAGGATTCAAAACAAGGGTGGTCGACTTCAAACTTGTTTTATTTTTCCTTTAAAATGCAGAAATCAGCTTATACTTGTGGAAACCACAGGAAAGAAACTCCTGGAATGCCAGTCTCAATTTTTCAGTTTTTGCCCTAAGGTTTGATCTCTGATCTCTTTAAATAGGAAAAGATATTGAGATAGCCTTTTCCCATCTCTTACTGTAAGAAACAATACAGAGGGGAGATCCTCCATACATGAAGCTGTGGCAAGGGGGCCCCTTCCTCCCCAAGTCCAACAGTCTGTGGATAGAATGAGTTTGAGAATCTGGAAAGTGTGTGTTTCTTCATTATTTCCCAACCACTGTTCATCTGGCTTCAGTTTTCACATTGGCTCTGGCAAATGTGCCCTTTTATCTAACAAGGAACAATTATATTGAAAACCAAGATTTTGGGAAAATATATATCATATCACTATTAAAACTCTGTGATGATCTTATCAACTAAATTGAACTTAAACCCTTGACTTGTTGTATGTTTTATTTTCACCCCAGGGAAAGCAATTTCACTTTCTTAACATTTCCTTCTTTTTCTCTCCTTTCAAAGCTATGATTAAGAACTAATTTATTTAGATCTGTCTGTGATTAGTTGAATGATTCTGCTCCTTGTTCAAATTAATTTTCAGACCTTTAATTGATAGTACCTGTACTATATTTAATGCATTTTGAGGGGCTAGAATAAAAATGTTGCTTGTTGAAATGTTCACTCTTCTGACTAGAACATGATTTACTCTATATCAATTTTGTGTGTTTTGTGTGTGTGTGTGACTATTATGGAGGGAAAAAACGTAAGTCAATTGAATGGTTTATTTCAATAAACCATTGGGCAAAACAAGAAAATTTATTTTACAAAATAACATAGTGGTTCTTCATCTAGAGACCAGGGATCCATTGTTGCCACCCAGCCAGGTTCCTTTGTCCTGCTCCTCAAGAAGCAGCCAAGATGCTGAGTCAGCCGGTTTTATGAGAAAGAGTCTTTATACTGCATAGTGCTAGGTGGGAAGATGGGAGAAATTTCTCAAATCCGCCTCTACAGGAATTTGGGAGACAAGGTTTTTAAGGATAGTTTGGCAGGCCAGGGAGTAACCAATTAGGTTTGTTGATTGGGACAAAATTATAGGGGTATAGTAATCATCTCCTTCTGCTTCTTCAGTCCCTGGGGTCACAATTCCAGTTGAATCGGTTTCTTGGTATGGGCCCCTGATATGGGTGGGTCAGTCAATTCTCTGGAATGTGGGGCCTGGAAACTGTCTTAAAAACTACCTTTAGGTTTCAAAAAGGTGATGTCATCTATGGGGAAAGTTAAGAATCTTTATAGACACCAGCTATGGGGAGAAGTTAAGAATCCTTATGACCACCAGATAGATGGGTGGCTCCAGAGTGGCAATTATAGAGAAACAAAAAGGGGACAGCGACTAATTATATCATTATTTTTAGCTAGGCCCTTACCATAGTTCTTGCCCTGCACCCTGTTATTGACTCCCTGTTATTGACTGTATCAAGGACAGTTTCAGGATGAGCTTTGTGAAGCCTCCAAAATTATGTATGTACACACATACATACGCATGTGCAAACACACTGATTTCTAGAAATGTATCATACTGTAATTTGTCTTCAAAAATTCACAGTGTCTAATCCACTTTTGAACCCTATATGTCTATTGAATCAACTGTTAAGCTGTTAAAATACATACTTATGGAATCAAATTCTAAATTGAAATTTCTAGGATTTGTATTTTGAGGCTTGTCCAAGATTCAGACCCAAGGCATATAGTAGCATACACTATATTGCAGAGATTGTGCTGGACACATTAACTAGTTGTCTTTCAACCCTCATAAAACCTTTGTGAGGAGACATTGCAAGGACTGTTTTCAAGATGAAGAAAGTTAAATTGACTCATACGTGCTGATTATTAATTACAGTTTTAGCCATGCTAAACTATTTCAGAAGTTTACACATTTTTAGAAATATAATAAATTCTTTTCTATTTTATATTCCCAAATTTGGTATATTCTTTTTTCAGTTAATATCCTCTTGAATTTTCAATTTATTTTCTGAGAGAGATTTGCATTATAAGCAAAATGCATAAAGATTCTTATCTATTGTTCTATTTTATTCTTGAATGTGATATTATTAGAAACGATCAGACTTTCTATGAATTTCCTGGTGTCCCATTTCATTTCTCTGAGGAAAAATGATGTTACCAACTTGTCAGTCACTGAATTATATTAAATACCACACTGCATACTTTTGACATTCATCATAATGATCAAGCAACGTGTTCCATCTAATATTTTATTGAAGCTTCTTTCATATTGTAATGTTATAGCCAAATATTTTATATTTTAAAGTATTTTTTAAATCATTTCATTTTCTAGCTGAAAGTATTCTGACACAAAGGCATAGGGGAAAGAGCAATGCAATTTAAATGTCACATTTGTCCCATGCAGTAAATTCTACATTCAAGCAATTGTATTCTTAGAGAGGTTTCTCTGTCAGATATTATTAGCTCTCTGTGAGTTCACCTTATATCTTCCCAAAGATTTTCATAGGTATAGGAATCTCATGGCTTAAGAATTTAGGCAATGACAGCCATAATTATATATATATATGCATATATATATATAATTATTATTATTTCCTTGATGAGTTAGAGAGCAACCTCAGTATATTTTTCTTTGAAAGTTGGTATTTTTCTTCTAGATGTTTGCTCCATACAATAGTGAAAGGATGGCTCAACAGTGTCTGGTTTCCTAATCTCCCCAGACCTCTCTCAGAGAGGAGGCTTATATTTCTCTGCCACCTTGAAATTAGACATGGTTACCTGAACTTTGCCCAATAAAATGTGAACATAATAATGTATGTGACTGTTTGGTGGATGTATTTAATTGCTGGTTCTTGATACCCCACTTCTCTTGTTTCAGGTTTCCAACTTGTTAACGGAAGCACAACAAGTTGATTTGGAATTGTAACGCTAAGCCACCACTTAGAGGACAATTGCTCTGGAGACCCTTCCAACCAACAATAGACTCTCTGTGAGCAGGAAATAGAGGTTTGTTGTGTTATATCTTTAACATTTGGGGGTTGGTATCTTATCACAACCTATCCTATCCTGAATGATGCTTATCCTTCACAGCAGAACATTCCCAATATGATTCTTTACTCTTAGAAAATAAGGGATCCAAAATTCCCTAAATTGTAGTTCAAAAACACTCCTTTTATAGATTGAAAATTAATGTGTAAACACCCTCCCTCTTTTTTTCCCAACATTTCATCTACAGCTTTTCCAACACTATGTTAGCTTCCTCCCTGCTAAGTGTGAAGACTTTAGAATATGCAGAATAGCAGAATATATATTTTGATTAAGACACTAAAAATACTGCATCAAAGTTTAAAACTAGAAAGCATCTGTTGAATTCACATAGCCTATCCAATTAAGAAAAATAATGCCAAAGTCACTCACCAAAAAAATGTTAATGGAAACCTTGAGTCCATGGTCACCTGATTCCAAACTTCACTTTCTTTTCACTAAAATCATAACCTTTTCCAGGCTAATGAAACCTAGCTCCCAAAGTTATCATAAGGATTAAGTGGGATATCATGTGCAAAGCAATCAGTCCAGAGTTTGGCTCCAAGAAATACTCAATAAATGTTAATTTATCTTTGGAAATACACAAGATGCCCTTAAATTTTAATCAGATGCCCTTACATATTAAAATTATCAAACAGCAGTCATTATGGTCCTCAGTGATTAGTGGTCTTTTCCACAATAGATCACAATGCTCTTTCCAGACCTTTAAAATCAAATTGCAACTTAATCCTGCATCCTTTTGTTTCTGCCTGCTAAAATTTGAATCTGTGCCTTGATCTGCATTATGAAACAACTACAATTTTTAGTGTACTTTGTTTACATGAGATTGCCTATTTTCTAGTTGTAACCACTCCTTTTGGCATTATGTTGATGAAACATGGAGTAATCTAGTCCCAAATTCCATCTCCGCCAACAAAATTTACTATTACATGACCTTTAGAAAACACACAAACACACATACACATGTACATCATATGATTTGTGTGTGTATGTATGTATATATAGGAGAGACTGTATATATAGTCTGAATTTTACAACTAATTGAATTTAAATGTACGCATAGTTTTACTTTTATTGATCTGCATTTTTGTTATTGATTTCATCTTTAGTATATATTTTCTAATGTCTCCCAAACATAGCATTTTATTTATTTATTTTTACATTTCTAGACTAAAGGTCCATTTCATATTTATATTAGAGATTGATTAGAGAAATATATATTTAAAGAGAATGATCAAGTGAAAGGGTGTGGTGGATTTGACATCCATTAGGCAACAGAGGCAGAATGGACATGTTGTTGTTTTTTTTCCTTTGTGATATTAACACAAGTTTCCTCTGTTAAGCTATTTGGAACACCAAGAGCATATAAATACAGCATATTTAAGAAGCATGTTAAAAAAAAAAAAAAAAGAAGCATGTTTACTTGTTTTACTTTTCTAGTACTTACTGAATATTTATCAGTGAGTTTCTACTTGCAGATTAGGAAATGCATTTACAAACACTTAGAATATTGGAATTTAAAGTGTTTTTAAACATCATCTTATTATGCCCTTTCAGTTTACACCAATGGAACCTAAAATTCAGAAAGAGACTAAGTAAAAACAATTTGCTTGTTTGTAGCTTTTGACTAGTTGTAGTCATGTAAGGAGGTAGAGTGGGGACAGATATTTTCAGTTTATGAGCAAAAATAAACTTAGTCTTAGCTGAGCACTTCACATGAATTCTGGACTTCAGCAGGGCTGAGTCTTGCCTCCTACCCTTACTAGCTGTATGAGGAACTTTATGTCTGGAAAAAGGTGAGACTTAAATAGCAAACCAACACAAAAAACAGCAACAAAGAAACAAACAAAAAACCCTAAACTAGTTATACAGTCTTGGAAAATTGACTTAAGCCATATCATCGTTAGTGTCCTTATCTTTCCCACTGGGCTGTTGAAAAATCAAATGTAAATGCATCATGGAGGGTAAAATACTTTCTATACCAGTAAGCCAGTCTTGGCATCCAGATTGACACAAGGGTGTTTAAATATTCAAAGTGCATGTTCGGAATATTGAATTGTGAGGCATAAGGATAAACTTCTACTCTAAGAAAGTGGACTCTGATGCTAAATTGCCTGGAATTTAATCCCAGCTGCTTGATTTACTAGCTGTAAATTGACCTTGGACATGTTACTTAATCTCTCTGTGTCAAGGATTTTTCTACCTATAAAATAGGATAGCAATACTACTGAATTCATAAACTGGTCATCAAAAATAAATAAGTTAATACATTAAAAATAATTAGGGAAGCCAGGCAGCCTTGCATATAGTGTGTGTAATGTCAGTAAATATAAGCAAACCCACTTATTGTTATCTCATTATTATTACTTTCAAGACTGCTAGGAACCTCAAGCCATTGTAAGTTCCACAGGGCTTCTGTCTAAATGGTGTGTAAGGAAATCTTTTTTTGCATTTAGTTGATGGCAGGGGCTTGATTTCTTGCTCCTTTAACCACTGACCATCCTGTGTGTTGATAGCACCTCCTCATTTTAATGAGCTTTATTGTCATGTCCATGATTCCATCCCCAAATCTTGGGCCCTGGTTGGGCTTTACTAACAGCTTCCATCAGTTTAACTTCATGTATTTTAGACTTTTGGTAATCAGGCCATGTTGTCAGTTTTTAATTTAATCTTTAGGGATTTCTTGGCTCCCATATTCCAAACAGCTTGGAGCAGGGTGTACTCTGTGACAAGAAGAAGACAGCATTTCAAATGTGAAGGATGCTCTTTTCTCTCCTTTCCTCTCACACTGTGGGCAACAACTCCACCCCCCTATGTAGTTATTATGGAATTTGAAGACAGCTTTCAAGGCAACTCAAGGTTTAGCTAATCTCAATTCTAGGTATTTAATCTTAGCGATTTATCATTAACAGAAATTCATTTAATTATGTCAGTCGAATATTATATTTTGATAGATTTCTTTGTTTGACTATTAATGATGCTGACAAACTATCTAATATTTAGGTACAGAATTGATTAATTAGGTTTGACTAGTACCAATTCGATTTTGCTACTTAAGCTTGACATTTATTGAAGATTTGTCTCCTGTTAGGCTAATAATTTGAATGATACATGTTAATTGATTTGCATCTATCATCCCCTTTCATTTGCTCTTATGAACTATATTTGTATCCATTGGGTAGTCTATGGTATGCATTCAAGAGGTTTTTTTTGGAAACCAATCTGTCCCCAAATCTTTGCTTTATTGCTACAGATTATTAAGCAGTTCCACATTATAGACACAAAGAATGACTTGGGATTCAAATTAAAACAAGTTTAAATAGACTGCAAAAGCTTTCCTCAGCAGACTGACTTCTACATTAAATATCCAAATTAATGCACATCACCATTCAGGCAGAGGAAACACCATTTTCTAGAGTCTAAGCTATAATGTCTACTCTTAAAGAATATAAAATAAAATTTACATAAAATATTAAGTTAATTGTACATCATGTTGTTGCATATCATATATATTTAATACATCAAAGTAAAGACTTATTTAACCTATTACCCTTTAATTATTACTAATATCCATCCAATCATACTCAAATGTGCTTAAAAGACAAAACTAACATGACCTGAGCTTTAAAATATTCATTTATTCATTCTTTCATTCATTCAATTATCACTGGACTCTGCTATCCCCTAGTTGGTATTTATTAATTATCTCTTTGGTATCTGTTCCCTTTTCTTTCCTTCCAGCAATACTGTATAATCTAAATCACCATCACTCTGTCTACAGTGATAAGCTCAGGCTGAACTTGAAGGCCACAATTCACAACAATGATATAAGGACTGTGGGTATCTTAATATCAAATACCATAGCACATACTTTCACAAGGCAGAAATTTCCTGGAAATAAACAAGGAGAGAGAAACAGAAATATAGAAAACAAAAGAGACTATCATATTAACAATTATTAATAAATGTCATTTATCATTTACTTTTGTATTGGATATCTATTGATACAACAATGTTGTAAAAATAAACAACCTAAAACCTCAGTGGCATAATAAGCATTATTGCTCAGGCATAAGAAATGGTCAGCTAGACAGCTTTCTTATTTTTACTTGGTTTGCTTGGATATCTGGGGCTTGACTAGCTGTTATCTGAGTAGGACGGCCTTCATTGTAATGATTGAGTGACTCAACTCTGATCTATGTGTCTCTCATCCTTCTCCTGAGACCACTGGCTTACCCTGGGCTTTTCCTTTTCATGATGATAGAGAGGGAAAGATTGCACCAGCCCACTAAGCTTCCCAACCTCCTTTTGTGTGATCCCTGCTGATTCATTTGGACCAAAGCAAACCACATGGCTGAACTCAGAGTCAGAGAGGAAGGACACTACAGAGAAAAGGGCAAAGGAGCAGATCCTGGAAGTATTGAAGAATTGGGACCATTATTATAATTGACAATATACTTTATTTTTACAAAGGCTGCAATACAAAAAATATTTGTTCTGATCATGACCTCAGCCCATCTTGTTTTTATTTCTCAATCACAATCTTACAATTTATTTTCTACTTTCTCTTTGATTGTTACTATTCTGTGCCTTTTAATTTAACTACCCCTGTATGAACATTGCACTCTCTGAAACCACTTGAGTACATGATTTGTGGAGAGGATGATATTTGCCTTGCTCGAAATAGTCCTTCCCCGTAGGAAAATCAAGGTAACCACATAATAAGTTGAAAAGAAGTTCGGATTGTGGAATTCTGGGTCATTTTTGTTTTGTTTTGTTTTGTCTTACCCTGTAGCTTCTACTTAACATTTTATGGATTTAGTAATAAATACTTTATTATAATATATAATATTTATTATAATATTATTGTAATAAATACTTTATTATTTACATACATATTATTTACATACTTCAATCCTCAATTTCTTCCAGTGTACTATGAGACCCAATGTCACCTGAGG